CGCAACCTCGAGACTCCTTCCGACGATCTTTCATTTCATCCTTCTTTACTCCAACTTTTCCTTTCCCGTTCCATTCCTTCCTCAAACTCAAAGCCGTAACGTCCACTCTGTACAAGTCCAAGAAAACTTCTTTCTTTATATCTAAGAAATATTAATTTCAGTGCATTTAATGAAAGGATTTGACAAAAGCCTACATTTTAACTCTTGTCTTTATCAAGTTTGGATATTTTATTTTTTTATATTATATTATGATATTTTTAATTTTTAATTTTATTAAATTTGTAAATTTTAACATGATACTTTTAATCTTTTTTTTATTAAAATTGAATAAAATAACTCTTATTTTATAACATTTTATTAGTTTTGTTAATTGACTATTAACTTTATTATCTAACTATTAATTGATTGTTAACTGATAAAAATCTTCTTTCAACTAATAGAGTTAACATAATTAATTTTATAATATTTCATTAATTCTGTTAGCTGACTATTAGTTGACTGTTAGTTGACAAAAACCTATTTTTAACTAACAGAGTTAATAGTCAGTATAGAGTGAGGGTTATTTTTTTTTTATTTTAATAGGTGAAATGTTAAAATTTACAAATCTAAAAAGGTAAAGAATTAAAAGTGTCATAATATAAGATGAAGGCTTAAAACCAAATATTTGCCCAAGAATTTTTTGAACAGAATATTTGCCCAAGAATTTAGCACAGAAAAGATATGCTCCTTTTGCCCACCACATGTTTGTGTTAATTCCTAACAGTACTTGGGAGAAAGATATTATAAGCAAAATTCTAGCTTCTAAATTAATTTCTCTTGAATTGGTGTGATGAAAAGAGAAGAGGTAATAGTGTTGTATATATTAGCATATATACAATATTTCCTAATTATAATAGAATATTACATATAATATATTTACGTTGTATTTTAATATATATAAGGCACAGGAAGGGATAGAGGAGGAAATAGGAATAAAAGGTAAAAAGCAGAACAAAGAGGAGAAGAGAAGATAAAATTGTTTGTACAAAGACAAGAAACTATTTCGCGATGGTTGTCTTGCTTGATAGTA